TTGTAACTAGACGGGATTTATACTAGACAGCAGATCCCAGGCTCCACCTGTTACTGACTACCATTTACCTGCACAGTACACTATGTACCCTGCGGGTAAGTGGAACTCATGATATGCGCGAGAGAACCTGGCAGAGAGCCAAATGAAGAAAACCGTTACACTATAATTACGTGAACAGGTTGAAACGGCTCCACAACTGTACAAACAAAGTTAACACACTGAACGTCGTGAGGTCTGATAATCACGGTTACATTACTTAATTCAACAGTGCCCAAGACAGATTAGTGTGAAATCCGCGGCACATGGTACTACCTTCAGAAGCTAAGCATACACACAAGACCCTTAAAAGTACAATGTAACACAGCACAGACCCGGTCGGTGCAGGATACTAAAGCTCTAAAGAACATGCAGGAGTCCAGGGTTCTCCTACTCGGTTCTTTATTGAAGTGTTCTTACTCCGCTGCTGCGCTGAGAGCGAGAGCCTGTGGGAGCCTGCTATACCGAAATCTATTGTTTGTGAGGGACAATGGTTTACCCTTACACATATTGTAAAGCGTATAATAGATAATAACGTGTCTGTTCCTCAGAGCGGCCCCCGCTTGAATATTGTGATGCGTGTTAAGTGGTTTTGAATCCTACAAATAATTAGGGTTTGTCGTTAGGAGAGACAGTAAAGTGACCAAAGCTTGAGCAGATTCTCGGGGGACTATTTATCATAAATTACACTGAACTAGGCCCCAACCCTATTAGCCCATGGTAGTCCGTCACAATGCATATTCATAATTATAGAGGCTCCGCAGATAAGGAAAATTATGTATCTCAACATTCATCATATTTAATTACTAGATAATGCTAATAGCAAAGTCTTTGATCTATGGTGATGGGCCAAGCGTTATTCGTTAATTAAGTATACATTTTGAAGTCTAAGTAACCACTATACTACTCAATATTCGTTAGCAACAGATATCAGAAATGTTCACAAACTTGCATCAACATCAAACGACAAAACTAGAACACTAATCGTACCATGTAACTCTACTTATTGAGAGTAGGTGACACGTTTTCCAACCGTACTACAAGACAACCACAACGCAAACAAAGACAGTAACTAGGAGATTGGAGAATAGTCTGATTAAACAACACACTCTGAACCAATTAGCTTCACACACCACTACACGAGTACACGACACACGTGTCCAATTACTCGTCACAATTCTTAACATGAGCACCAATATTGCGGGAAATGAGGCGGACAAACACTAACTGAGCTCCTGACACACCTTTTGGAGAGTAGCCTCCTCGGGGGAATATCAGAGATAACATCATCTGTCTGCTCAGAGATCAGATCCAGAGCTCTCAGCTCGATGTCACACAGGATGGACTCTATTTCAAGGTAGTTGAATATGATGTCGAACTCTTCCAGCACCTCCAGCTCCCCGGACATAACGAACAACATTGAGAACAACACGGTAAAATGCCAAGGTGACCGGTTGAACGTTCAGCAAATCTTGTAATAGATGCTTCGAATCGATAACAAACACAGAGATGGCAATCCCAATTCTGACCAGCCCGAGTTTGTGAGAGGTTTAATGGTGAATGAATGAAAGTAATGAAGGACAAATAGAGACAGCTCTATGAAAAATATTCTCGCCGGCGAACAAATGGTGCTCAATTGTGAAGGATGTAGTTGCAGAGCGGCCGAAACCATACGCGCACATTAAAAGTATTGAGTGTTAAACCCCATAACTCCATTAACACTCTGTCTCAACTTATAATTGACAAGTTAGGAGATACATGTCAGGCTCCCTATTACAATCACAGATAAATACATTCTCCCCGGGCTCCCATATAAGGAGAGGCCAGGTGGTTAAAGAGTAAGATTCTCGGTGTAATTTGAGTAAAAACAAAAATAAATGACAGAGCGACGCAACAGAATATAGCGCCGACTTAAAGATGACCATAAGGAGTATAAGTGATCTCTTTTGTCTGGTATAGCTCTCGGTATTTCTCGAGGTGGTCGAGTATTGCAGCTGCTGCACGTAGTATATATACGTGATAACTCTACTGGGGAAGAGAGAAGGAGACCAGTGGCAGAAAGCTGGATCACAAACCACTTGGACCCCTCTTGACCAACATCCAATAATAGCTACCGCTGTTCTGGGTGAGCATGTCTGTCGCAATATATGCCTTACAAATCCATTGTATGGTCACTGAAATGATCAATTTCTAATTTTAAACGCAAGATTTCAACATCTTTAAGCTTCATTATACCTCAAATTAGGACTCAAATTATTGTGCAAATTTTAACAGACAATTTTGCAGGACAATGATATCGGCCATTACACATAATAATGAACGGCTAATCGAACTTTGGGTAAAGGGATGTACACCACTGGAGCGCAAGGAGAGACAGAAGGAGGAACTGTCAAAGTAATACTAACGTCAGTCAACTAATATGGAATATGGCAGCGATAATCTGCCTTAGACTGCCGATCTGAAATTCTTGGGCGACTTGTGTCAATTTCCTCTTTAGTGCAGTTGTGCGATATCTAGCCTATTAATTGGTCTGATGTTTTCGGTATTATCAATTTTTGTTTACAATTTGGCATATACAATTTGATATAGCCACAGTTTAGGCACCAACTGCTATTTATTACTCTACGATTTTTTAATCCGATTCGGATTACGGCAGATATAAAAACATCGGGCAACAAAACTTCATACAAGTTGGATAAAATATAGTAAATCTAAAGTTTAAGTTACTGGATTGCGAAATTAGGAAAAATATAGAAAACTGATAAAAACATGAACGTACGTGTTCCCACGTATAATCGTGTACAAATTTAAATATGTCAGTGTCAGCGGTCACACAGAACGATCGACACACTGAACTCAAATCATGATCTAACTACTTCCAAGCTACACGAAATCTCCACTCGCGCTCTCTCTCTCTCTCTCTCTCTCTCTCTCTCTCTCTCTCTCTCTCTCTCTCTCTCTCTCTCTCTCTCTCTCTCTCGTACACATGACAGTCATTTCTCACATATTCTCTCTCAACACTGACTTTCTCTCTCTCTCAAGCAGCTGGTCTAGATCTTAAGTCGACTTGTTTCGGGAAATTAGCCGACAAATGGCTCGGAAGGAGAACACGGTCACGATGTTATCGGTGTGGTTTTAGGTATCACGTTTCTCTGGGATCGCAATAGTCATGCTGTTAATGTGAAATAATACCATGCAAATCAAGCAAAACGGGCATTTTTGGAGAGCAAATCACATTGAGTAATCTCACATATTTGTCGCATCTAGACGATTTACAAGACCAGCGAACGAAGATAGACCCAAGATAATTCATCAAACCCGCATGCCCCATGCCAGTATTCTTTCTTTTTCAAACATAAAAGACCATCAAATTTCAGGTCAAACCCGCAAATTAACAAAGTCGTCACCAACCGTTTTAACATGTGCTGACTTATATCCAAACCATGCCGTGCACACCACGCCTCAGGTAAGAAGACCTGATACTTTCATGCAAAGAATCACGCTTTCTTCCTACCCAATTCAGGTGGTCTCCTCAAAAGGGGTCCCTGTGTCAGCATGGCACTTAGCCTCCTCGTGATCACTTCCACCTTCGCCTCCGGTTCCGTGTCCGCCTCCATCAGGGTTATCTGCTCAGATAGTTCAAATATTTCGTCTTCGTATGCCTCAATCTGACCCAGTAACTTCATGTTGATATCAGATAATTCAGCGAATCTCTCAGTTTCAGACTGGGGGTATACAGACTCAAGACCGGTTGACGAGCGGTCTTTGTAGAAACAGAGCTCCTCTTCGAGTTCATCAACACGGCACTCAAGAGCGGTGTTCTCTATAAACATCTCAGAAACTTGATACTGGCTGGATTCCAGCTTATCAGACAACCTCTTCAGATCTTTAGACAGAACGGGGGAATCCATGTAGTCAGGATCTGTTCCAACTCCAATAGACATTACAGAGGCTGAGGTAGTCTCAAGGTTGTCACATATATGAAGCAAGTCGAGCTTCTCCACAGTAGCATACAAATCAAACTCAGTGGCAGTTAGTTTATCATCCAGTTGCTCGTTTATGTGGATTTGATCGTTGTATTTCCCTATCAGATCATTGTAGAGTCCTTCTATCTCCAGAGAGGATTGAGATTGAGAGGTTAGGCCCCGATATTTGAGCTGCCTGTTGGTTGATAATATGATCCGCTTGTCTCAATCTGATTTCTAAATCCTCAACCTTCTGATTCATCTCATATGACAGAATATCACAGCTGTCCTGATACTCCTTTCTCAGATTTTCCAGAGTGATCTCCAGCTGATCTATAATACGATCTCTAGCTCTGACCTCCTCTTCTGCCCGAAGAACTTGCTCCTTCATCACCTCTCTCTCGTCCTCCATCTGAAACCGAACCCCCTCCACCATCTCATCCGGTATCTGGAACTGTTCCAGGATCCTCATAACAGAGTTCTCTCGATCACAAACCACTTGCCTCTCCTCTTGTAAGCTCAGGTTCAGTTCTTCCATCTGTTTTGTCAGGTTGTCGTTGTCTACGAGAAGTTTCTGGAGGCTGCTCACACTGCTGGACTGATCTCCAGAATAGAAAGACAGACGGTAGTGGAGGTCGTCGTTTTGGGAGGCAAGGCCCTGGTTCTGAACCTCTAGCTCGGAGATGATACCCTCGAGTTTTTGAACCGACATTGCAGGTTTATCTTGGGTCTATGCGAGGTGCAGATGACCTGAAATCCTTGAGGGAGACGACCGTTCAGTTCCCCGAAAATTTGAGAGATTTTCCACGCGGCAAATATTCAGAATGTAGATATAATATGCAATATGCTTGTATGAGAAATATCTCGAAAATGCAGTGACTGGTTGCAACTCAATGCTCAAGAATCAAGCACAAGCTCAGAATAATCAGAAACAATCAGTCCCACGAATCTCACTTCACTTCTCACTTCACGGTCCTCGCACTATCTCACTTCTCTCACCTGGCAAGGTCAAGGTGGGGAGTCCGCGGGACACCCTCAGGTCACATGATCGGAGATGAGAGTGAGAGAAGGTGGTAGCGAGGTGCCAGCAGATGCTCAGGGTGTGCCAGTGATCAGCTCCGAATTCTAGTAGAGAACAAACCAGCGCTGGATATTCCCCTGACTCCAGAGCTTCCTAAACAGAAATGTGGTGTTATTATTAATATAGGTTATTCTCACTCTAATAGTTATCTACTGTTGTAGTTATTCTTAGTTATGAAGCTGTTATTTTTAGTTTTGGCCGACAAGTTTGCATCGTAATCTAATTAATTTCGAACGGCATTCGCATAAAATTAAAAAACTAAAGCTACAACTGTTATCAAAAAATAACACGATGACAATAACACAGTAGGTGTTGAGACTGGACACAAATATTGGAATCAAGCCATTTAGTACCACGTACATTCTTCAAATTTCATTAGACGGGAAATAACGTTGAATAATGAAATCAGAACGATCATAGCAATGGAGCTATCACGAGAAAAAAGTCCTCTGTCCGTAACGAACGCATTAACCACGGTCTTATGCTAATAATAAGCCGACAATGAGCACTAGTTACAAAGTTATAAATCAGTGCCATAACAAGCCGAACACACAAGCACATTGTACACATGTCTCTCTCTTTCTCAAATGCAGTGCCAGGTAAATGGATTAGCACTTCTTGTCACGTGACCCAATTAAGCCCTGCTTGTTACTCCTGCCACACAGCACACACACATTTAACTATTAGTCAATTAACTACGTAGTCGTTAGCCAGCCCTGGGTCATTAGTGCATGTGCGAAGTTAAATATTATAATGTCATCAGTGATAATTATAATTGTTGTGGCATTGTTGTGACTGTGGTCAATTGAGTAGTCTTAAGTAGGTCTAGGTACGATTGTTCATATTAGCGGCATGCCCGTCTTACGGTCTATGAGTGATCCTGTTTTGAAAATAAAAGTCTGCTTTGAGAAAATTACAAAATTCAAAGCACCCAGCCGAGGCTTGAACTCCCTATTTCACTTCCTCCTTAACGTCAAATGCGGATATATATATATTAATATATATAGCCACATATACAGTGACGTCATAAGGAGTAAGATATTAGATGCACCATGAAATTAAATTTCGATCGGTAACCTTTTTTGCTGGGACCCTCAATTTGACTTCATATTATGAAAATATAGATTTCAATTCTGCTTCTCTTGACCTTGTTCGGTTTGTAACTTCGTCATCTTACTTGTACTTGAAAAGGTCTCCTCCTAGTCGTTTGAGTGGCCTGCACCACATAGTAACTCTTTTCTCCGGTGTATTAGACCTCTCCAGTGAACCCTGTCTGTAGCTTGTTGTTCTGCATCTTCTATCGTGATGTTATCGACACCTGTGAAGATTGCTGCATCCTCCCAGACACATGACAACCAGTTTTTCCGAGGTCTACCTCTTGACCTTTTTCCATGCTTTGGGATCCAGTGCAGAAGATAGTTGGGTATTCTTTCTTCTGGCATCCTCTTCGTCATCTATTGTTTAATATATAATCCTTTGAAGGGCGTCTTGTACGGATTGTAAATAATGTTTTTCCGAGGTCTACCTCTTGACCTTTTTCCATGCTTTGGGATCCAGTGCAGAAGATAGTTGGGTATTCTTTCTTCTGGCATCCTCTTCGTCATCTATTGTTTAATATATAATCCTTTGAAGGGCGTCTTGTACGGATTGTAAATAATGTTCAGTAAAAACATCTGCCAAAAAACTCTAAAAATGACTAAAAAACCGGTATTAAAGTGACAGACTTTACCAAATTGAAAAAAATTTCCAAAAAGAAAAAGTGAATTTTTTCGAAAGTGCAATTTACTCAAAACAATTTACTACTGTGTCGAATCATATTTTTTTAATACATATTTTCATAATATGAAGTCAAATCGGGGATACCGGCAAAAAAGGTTTTAGTGTATGTCCCCAGAAACTCCACGTCACGAGCAATTTCTCTATTGTGTATATATTTTCTCAGAAATATAAAATTACTACCTAGTTTGGAATCAGCATACATACGAAAGTTAGTCGTTTTTAGGTTGTGTGGCAAAAAAACCCAGTACACCCAATTATAGGACTTAGACTTTCTAAATTTCAAATATAAGAATGATCGAGCTCGTCTGAGAGAGTCTATCATAATTAGTTGACTGACCGGAAATCGGAATCTAAAATCCAGGTCGTTTGTTAAAGAGGACAGGAAATTTATTCAAGTTAGACCTTTGATCTTCAGTTCTGTACGTGACGCTGAGAATAAAATTCCAAGAAATCAGCCACTTTAAGCTATAATGATGACGTTTGGTAGGACTCTCACATTCGTGATTTACAAAGGATAGGGTGTCTGAATATGCGCAAGTTCAATGTTTTGCAAGAGACGGAAATTTCATAACTCAGCCAATGGGGTGACACATCAGTATCACGCGCCACCCGGATAGTTCGCGGAATTTAGGATTTATCATAGATTTTGATTTCATTTATCGTATTTAGCTTTACCTAGAATTGGGAAGCTGAATTGAGTCTCGTGATTTATAGTTTGACTATCGGACTACTCTGATCCATTTTTAATCCATTATTTATTTACCATGGTTGGAGCCGTTTACTTTTGAACATATAGGAACAGTAACGAGTAATTTTAAACAGGCATGTTTTAATTTATTGGATTTAATATAGCTAAATATGAACTATGCACATGGTATTTGTATTTCGGAGAAATGGTCCGCGGAAAAGTCTGGTTTCTTATTCAAAGAAAGAATCCAGGTATTCCAGACGGGTAGCTGGTAAAGTATTTGTTAAGCGGAGTTTGGAGGCGATCCGGATGATTTCCCGGAATATTGGCATGATATATAAGTATCACATTTGTTGTCTTAGCTGCGTAATATTTACGTACAATTGTCTTTTGCCACGCTGTCCGGGTATGACTTTACTTCAACTCAACTTCAATGTCAATATCAATTTGCACTTAACCGCAACAAATACAACACGTGATTTTTAAACATTACTAATTCAAACCATTACTCATAACCATTACTCATAAAGTTTGCTCAGTTTAGTTTGACGATGGCTCATTGCTCGGGAACACTCGCTGTCAGCATCGACTGGGTTAAAGTTCTTACAGACTTGTTTTGTCCAGGTGAGTTTTGGAGTTACCAATTAGGAAGTTAACAATTTTGGAGTTACCTTTTTAATTAACCAATTCAATTTAGATACGATCAATCCTGTTAGTATGGGGATGATTCTCAAAATAAAGATGGAATAGCAGTTCTTAAATTAGTATCTTGTTAGATTAGAAATTTGCCAATACTATCTTTCCAGAACGATGTCAGTCACTTTTAATTGACAATTAAAATAATTAACCAACGCAACTCTCTCAGAATTAAGAAAACCGAAGATAAACAGATTCCGTTTCCAAAGCCAGAAGGTGGTCTCGGCTAACTGCCTGATAATTGGAGGACCTGGTTCAGGGAAAACCTCTCTCTCATACTCTTACGAAACAGGAACGTTCCTCAACCAGAACCAGCCCTCCGAGCTGATAGTACAGAGAACGATAGAGAAGCGAGGTAAAACTTTGCATCTTCGGCTCATCGACACTGGGCCCGTGTACAGTATCCTGGAACTCGGTCCTAAACTCATGTCAGCCATAGACGTTATAATTTTCTGTTTCGACGTTTCAGATAGAGGCTCCATGGAAACCGCGTTGAACCTTTTGAGCTATATTGAGCTCCACTCTACAGACTGCATGTGCTGCGAATCATATTGTGCAACTAAAAACAAAGTTCCTAAACTGGTTGTGGTCGGAAACAAGGCGGATCTCAGAACAAATCAGGAGAAATTATTCGAAATGTTCGACTCGAAGAAGACTCTGGTCTCACGGATGGAAGGCCAGTCGTTTTCAGAGGGACTGCGAGCGGATCTTTATCACGAGGTGTCCGCGTTATACCATGACGGGGTGGACGAACTATTCGACGAGATTCACAACCTGTTTTTTCCGACGATCTTGGAAAGATTTCACGATCTTTCCAAGAAGATCAGCATGCCCCTTATTGTGTTGTGAGACAATGACTTGTCTGCAGTTCAGACTAAACTTCAGAATCTTCATTGATCGAACTTCAACGTACCAGTTGCTACTCGGCCGAGTACGCCGCAGACCTTTGATCTCACAGACTTACTTCGGCATAGAATTCCAAAAGACTCAGCTGGACATAACAAGTTTGAGTATTACAGACTCTTATAGTTATACAACCGGCGGTTACCAGCAGTATTTTGCAGAGTTTCCAGCTATTACCAGTAGCATTTAGGTAATAATCCGGGTTTTAATATTTGAATTTTAAAGTTGTATTTTGTATTTGATTTTGACTGCCGTTAAATGAAGAACGAACCACGCACCAGGAAAAGTAAACAGTGCACAATTCATTTCTTCATTTTGGGGCAGTCCGTTGACTAAACTAGTACTAGTTTTCACAACTTGTAACTTGTAATTGTAAATATATGCTTGCAAATTGGAATGAATTCACATTTTTTTGAAGTTCTTGCTTTAATTTGTTGATTCCACATCTATATTATAATAGTGTGGATAAAGTTATCACAGAATAACTCGCAGAGAGTATCAAATGGATAGCAACATCAAATATAAACGTTGCTCACCCAAGCACTTATTTTGGCCTTAATCCTTATCACACAATTCTGTAGATGTATCGACTACAGATTCGCTAAAATCACAATCATTTTATTTCACCCTCACACCTCCATTTTGTTACTATTCAAATCAAAGTGAGGACAATGCAGAGTATAACAAATATTGAGCATTAAGTCATGGCAAGAAAATTATATTTATTTCATTTCTGAGTAGACAGAGACTGAGGATGAAAACGATATTTTCAGGTCACTGGAAAACCCAAATGAGATTTTTAACTAGAAATAAATGAGATGCACAAGTTTTCATTAAAGATACACACAAACTAAGATATACATAAACTACTGTAGATACAATATAAAATTCAATAACAACCAAAACGATACAATTTACACAAACTTAAATTTTCAACTTGAACTTAAAATAAACGATGTAGAAATAACATATAATTCAAGAACGCTCTCAATTGCTATTCATACCTAAAACTATTTCTATGTATTGTTACTTAACAATTCAATAACTCATTCAGGAGCTAAAGCTTACTAATTCTATCTTGGATTCTTACTCAAGCGCCACAATTATACTCTAAAGTATAAATCACTTCTATTTCTTATTAAATCTAATTTAAAGTACACAAGCTCGAGCGTGTTTTAAACGAGAAATCAAACTGGAATCTGCATTATAATATGTACTACAATGAATGGAGAATGGAATTCGTATATCGTCATTCCTCGGACAGGTGGAATGAAACAGTGAACAGTGAGTAGTGAACTCGTTCCATGCCAATCCATACAAAAAGTCAAGAGTTGACTCAAGTTGTTAAATCATAAGACTATCTTAGCTAAATTTGACTCCCTGTCCTTGGGTACATTGCAGTGTATCCTTCCGCTTGATTCTAATTTTATATCTACGGTTCACATTTTTGAAAACTCTCTTTAATATGCTTCTTATTAGTGTCACCATTTTGTTTATTTTAGTTGAAACTTTTACTCTCATCCCTGAGTGTGTTTGGTGAAGGTACATAGAAATTTAAGTAATTTAGGAGAGGACAAGGGGAGCTAAATAATAACAGGGAATCCCTAGGAAAAATGCGTAAGCATCGAGTCCGCAAAATGTACAGAATTATTTGACGGAGGATTGTTAAAATTTGCAGACCAATAAAAGGGCTAATTGAATGATTAAATTGATCTTACTAATAGTTGATGCTGGTATTCGAATAAGAAGCAGAAGTGGTAAACTTATCCGTGCAAACTAATAGTAAAACTACTGTATTTTAAAGATTTTTTAATTTGAGCACTTCAATTTACAGGTACCTTCTTTTAATTTGTTAATCTAAGAACAACAAGTTCACGTCTGTTTATTGTAAATGTATGACGATACGCCTACATTATAGCGGCTACACATTTCTGTTCCTGCTAGTTCAGCAGTTTCTTTCTAGGTAATTTCACTTTCAACATAAGCGGGGTGTGAGTGATATAGTAATTATTTCATATGTGATCAACTTTGAACTTGCTATACAACTACAAGTTGTACTCAATCGCCGTATTTTCAAGACCATTTAACTTTCATTCGGATACCCTAACCATCACACCACCTCAGACAACGGAATTATATTTTTAATCACCAGTCAATATCATCTCAAACTGGGACTTTAAGTTGCGTCAAGAGATTAAATATGCTTCTCCAAAAATAAACGTACGACTCCTCTCTCTCTGTTCGTTTAATATTAATATCAACAATAACACGCGTCACGCACATACTGATATTATTTGCACGTCTCACTAATTATATCTACAAGAGCACGCTTTATCAACACCGATACGTAATATGTACATTAAACACGTATTAATACTTTTATTTTATATTGACCCTATCAAAAAGTTCCACACTCGTTTTGCACGTACATGCAATTCACACGAAAAAATACAGACAATTTCCCACACACATCGTCCAGACTCGCTCTCTCTCTTGCTCTCTTTCTCACCACCCTTTCTTGGAAACTCTCCGCACAGCTACCGGTACTTTGAATCGGTTAACACGCAGGTAGCAGACATCTACCTCGATCTGTGGAGGATACGCTCAATTACCGGAATGATAGTAAATTCTTTAAAATTCCAAGTTCCAAGTAAACTTTACTCCAGTCATATTCCGGGTAACGCTTCTAATTTTTCGATTTGTCAGCAATGTTTTATTTTAAGGGGATTGTTGTTAATATTTAATTGTTTTATTTAATGTTGTACGTGGACTCAATTAATAATTCTGCTCATCATCCGGATCTCATCGGCCGGGTTTAACCCGGATAATTTTAGTAGGAGAGGGATAGAAACAACCGACTTATATAAATGTGAGTTACACTGGAGAGCTGTATAACAGTATTCGTGATTTAATAGACTAAGAGCTGAAAAGAAGGAGAATTAGTTTGATCTAATACAGTTTTACTGCACTAGTCACTACTATAAATCAGCTGATGATTCCTAGAAAAATAGTCTTTTGGGCTGATGTGGGTTTAAATCATATGATGCGCTACGTTTAGTGATTGACTGGGCAGATTTTGGCCGGTGACGGGGTGACCCTTTTGTTCGCTGGCACTACATGTATAAGGCCATTTTTAGCCGGCCCGAGAATTTTAGTGGTCTGGAGCAAATTGATTTGCCTTTCGATTAACAAGAAAATTGTAATATTTATTAAAATTATCGATGGTTTATTAGATCTCATTTTGAAACCTAAAGAAACAAAACGGTCAACATCTCTGATGTTTATAAACAATCGGTATCTATATCAATCGGTTAATAAATTAAGTTGTCGACTAAAACTTAGGTTTTCCCGGGTAGAGCTTCAGCTATTTTGGCGCCCAATCAAGTCTACATCTTGAGTTTTCATCGAATTTTGCAATACCTCATCGGACTTTATATTATTTGAACGGACGTTACCGTATGTGGACGCTGGATGCCCTAGCGTTCATATTCAATATTTAGTCTGTTAAAATAAATTATGTCCGTTTACGATCCGTTGAAGTCAAAGTCCGTTCAAAATTTTTCCCAAAAGTATTCTACAAACTAATTATCCAGGATATGACTACTTCTTACTAAGTAAGAAGTTACTTTCGGTCAATTTCAATTCCTATCAGAACAAACGATTCAACAAGTTTTGGCTAAATCACATACGGATGATGATTAATCACTCTACACTCGACTGTCACGTGACTTTTTAACACGTTCTCACCGTCTCACGGTGGCCCTGAATTGTGAATGACTATTCGAAATCGAAACCCTAACCCTATAATCTGATCCCACCCGGCCCTAACCCTAACCCAATTCATAACTGAAGCATATACTGAAACCCTAAACTAGAGACAGTTTTTCACCGATATCTCGACAGGGGAGCATTTTAACCCTATGTCATGTGGGGTGATTCGAAATCATCGTTTGAAAATACATCGATTCAGGTTGGTTTCAACTGTCGGCCGTCGGAGGCCCTTTTTTTAATCTCGAAGATCGAGTGTAGAGTGATTTAGGCTTAGCACGCTCGACCACATTAATATTATGCATTATGGCATCACTTTCTTCGGCTTCCTCGTTCAGTCACCAAAAATATGAAAAGATTCATCCCATATACCAAAACTATCCATTGTTAATGTTATGTTAAATTCTGCGAAATGCCTGAATGTGATCCAGGGTGTTCCAGCATATTGCGCGCGCAAAATTCTGAGAAATGAAAAAACAGATTTCAGTTTTAGATAACTGTAAGATTAAGAATGAAGGAAGTCAAATTTAGGATTACGTGTATTTCTAAAGAAATAGTTAATATTTCTACGGAACCGCTTTCTAAGGAACCTATTTCTGCGAATTGCAAACTGACCTGGTAATATTGCAGCCGACTCTCCATCCCATTACCTGAAAGTAAGATTCAAAGATATCACAGATAATGTACACAATTCTTGAACCTATTTGGAGGTTTTCATCAAACTTTAATCGAAGTCGGAAGAAATACCATAACTTGGGACCGACTTGAATTTGAACACTCAGAAAATCATAAATTGTTCTCAAAAACTCAACTTCAAGTAAAGCTCAAATATAGCTAATGCTCATATCTTCTGATAAGATCAAGCAAATTTATCCACTAACGTCTAATAAATTACTCAGTATCTCCCATCTTCTCATGATGAGACACATGAATCACCATCATTTGGCATCCTATTTATTGCGACACCACACACCAGTTATAGAGGTTAATTTCATTAACCAAACTCGATAACTAGGTATAAGGTATTAAAACCAAGCGATTGCCAGAGAATTTACTTCATCGTATGTAGTTGGTAGTACATTAATTTTATGTTATATGTTATAACTTGTAATTGATGAAGCTGAATTTCGATTTAAAAGAGGTTGTTTCATGTTTGACGGTTACAGCAGCGGGTTGATCAACTTGGCACTCAGCAATCTCTGCCACCTTAGCGATATATATTCACTTTGAGGCAGAATATCATGATTTTTGGGACTTTTTGATGAAGGGAGGAAGTAGTAAGAGGAGCCAAATATTTTTGCAGGGAGGGAAATTTGACGCTTAGACCTCCATGTTCAGGGAGGAATAAAGACAGAGAATGAAACCTACTGGAATTAGTACAGGGTGTTTTTACATATTTACTTTTTTATTGCTAATACTCCTAATACCAGTTTGTTTCAAATAAACTCTGTAAAATGTTATCGGTAGCGCTAAAATCGAATAGTGGATCCTAATCCTGGATTTGGTAAGTCGCGATGACCACCATAGCAACCACAACCGGTTCACTAGCAACACGTTTTTCTTTAGAACAGTTTCTTGCACAAATTGAAGAAATATACATTCTTCCTCCGGGTCTCATGTGTACATACATTCATTTTTGTGTAGGTGATAAATCTGATAATATACGCTACAAATTCTTTACAACTTATCACCTGTCGGGAAGTTGAATTCAAGATCCACCATTTACCACTACCGACAACCTTTTACAGACATAAGGGGTCGTTTACATTTTACGTTTTCAATGATGGAGGAAGAGGATTTCTAAATGATTGCGCTAGTGTAATTTTAACACAATACTGCTATCTGTAAAACAGATTACGGAGAGAGGGAGAGGGGAATTAGCCAAAAAGTGATTACGTATTATTTGAACGACCCCTAAGAAACTATTAGTATTACAAGGCTATGTTCTTAAACTCATCATTGGTGGACAATGGACGGACATGACTTCTTTCTGATAAGTGCAATGAAAGGAAGAATACAAAGGAGTCAGTGCTGCCAAAAGGGATGCAGATAGCGACGCATTATTTTCAATCGGTAGCTGACATACATGTGTGGTGATGTATATGAAACGGAGAGAAAAGGGTGTTACATAGATAAAAAGACCCCAACATTGAAGCATAATCGCATGTCGTTGCTGAAAACAATTACCCAGGAAATTTAACAGGTTGGATGTAAACCTCAGTGAGGTTGGATGTAAACCTCAACGAGGTTTCTATGCTGTTGTTCTGTCGGAGCTTGCCAAGCTGATACACATGCTGCCGTACACTCGTCACACAATTTAAATGTGAAAACATTGCCTCACACTAACTTTAGTAGACGCTGAAAAAACTCTTTAACAGAAACCAGTTAAAATACTGATATTCTACACACTTTTATAAAACTAAATGTTCAAAAAAGCAACAATCATTAATGCAAAGAAGATGTCTTGAAACTTTTTTTACTCAGGCTGAGTTCGTTATGAAAACCTCAAACATTTCAAATTCATAAAACTTAACTCAAACTCGTCCATTACATATTTTTACGGAACAGCTAAGAAAACAAAAGACAAATCATAGCACCGAATCTCGGTTAACAAAGATACAAAAGAGGCACAAAAGAGCTATCTGTCACCAGTCAGTGTCCAGTGTTTCAATGATACATATCTAATATCTATCCTGGCTCCAAGCTGACTTCAAACAGAGCTACTGGTCACAAGGGTGTAGTGAGTCGGATCTCATATCAGATCTCAGATCATGTGATTTCATGTTGCCATGGTTACCGACCAGTACCAGTACCAGTACCGGTTCCTTGCCAGAAAGAGCTCACATAACTGGTGATGCCCTTAAACCGTGACTTGATAGATCCTGAAAGAAGAATAAAGGCTAGTGCTTTGACAAGGGCATATCTTTACTGTGCTCTGAAGTATGTCTGTCTGTCAGTCAGTACGGTCGTCAGTCAAAAGTACAGATAGCGTAAGTGCGACAAGAATTAGGCGGTAAATTTTTATGCTTTGAGATGATGCGAGAATGCTGTGTTGTCAGTCAGCGTCGACAGCCGAACAAAATAAAGAAGAGAAGCCTTCAAATGCAATAATGACTGGAACAGGCAAATTTGAGTCAGTTAAATCTCTCATTTTAAAAATATAAGCACATTACAGAGATAAATGCACGGACAAAAATGTCAGAGCATAGTTTTCAGCTCAAATTTTGCGTCAAAAGTTAAATTAAACATTTAACACATATTTGTCCAATAGAATTTAATTATTCTTACACAGATCCTGATTTACTTGATTCTTACACAAACATGTTAAAACACTTAACAATTACAATTAACACAGAATATGTATCAGCTTGGCAACGTCACGAGTGTGAATTCTTGTCCCCAGTATAAAGTTTCAGCAACACCAAACATGCACGGTGTACGAGAAAAAGACAAGGGAGAGAATGTTAGATAAAGGTGCACGCCTCGGTTGGAATGATTGAGAGTAGTGCTCGCTGAGGAGGGGGACACGCTCTCTTCACTCTTACCTACTGTGATCATCATGTGATCTACTCCACACCCCAGGCGGGCTTCCGGTAGTGCCGGACCGGCGGGATGGGAGTCAGCTTATACAAATCAATAGCGGCACGAGCCGTGGAGGGTTCCCGACCGCGGGGCACTGTCTTCCGCCGGTACCCGGTGGTGCCTAGTGCTGTTACGTCATCAGTATACGGATACCAATATTTGACAGGGCTTGTTTTGCAATAAGTGGTAAGTCTATGACGGGTTGACTTAAGTAATACGTTAATATTTGAGTAACAGAACTGGGTTAGCCAGTGGCCAAATGGAAAGCTGATTTTTGTTAAATCAGTAAAAGGTCGCCATACCAGAGCGAAAGCAGGGACGATTAGGGTGAAGTAAAAGTAACATGCCTCAACAGATTACAAGGAATGACAGAATCAGACGAACAAATTGTCTGGGTTTGATTGGAGGTTTGTTTTAAATCAAATACGATAATCAGATCTTGACATACCACTGAACATGCAAAACAAGCTCAAAGGGAATAAGGGCCGAGGTATTTCATGAACGGTCAAGACGGTTCAATTGTTATCTACATTGAAAACTATAATCAGGCAAAGTTGGGAAAGTAAATAAATGTTTTTCGGGAGAATAAGGTCTCTTATTCCCTGTGAAGCCTTCACAGGTTCATGCATGTTCAGCAAAAACTTAACAGCATCTAGCAAGGCCTTGAGCTGCGAACTGCGGTAATATTCGTGCTGTTCCTATAGAATAGGGATCTGCTTGACAGTGAGGTAGCAAGCCAGCTAACTTCATGTAAACTGAACAGCTACTTTACTAGGTATTGGGGGTGGAGGAATTTATAGTTACCTTGCCGATTAATTGGACTCTCGCACTGGTCTGGTCTTGGAGACGAACTTGCAGATTCAACTGAAAGAAATTATGGCGTTAGAGTTGCATTTAAACTGTGATAACAGTGTTAATTTAAAATCGTATAAAATCGTATCGGAGTTCATCTAAACAGCCTCAGTTAAACGAAAAAGTCAAGTTTTTGAGAAAAAGCACAACACGGATATAATTAAACGAGCGTACATAGCTTCATGAAGAAAGTACAGAAGAACTTCACGAGAGAAAGTACATTTCAACTTCTTGATTAATTTCATGAACAGATTTAGACTAAAGTGATGGAAAACATCACGTTTTTTAGAAAACAACACAAAATAAGTTGAGATAATTCATGACACACTCAAAAGCCCTTGGGAGCCTCTGTGTTTTTCAGGTTTTTTGGTACATCTTTAATCTTTATTCCATCATAAAAGTCGCAGCTTTTAAAATGTTGTTTTTAGCACGAGTTGAATGAACACATTACACAAGCATGAAGGCATGCAGTAAAGGTTACCAGGCCAGTGTATAGCTTGTGGTAACCATAGATACATGCAACCTACCCTTCCTATGTGATCTTGGAGGAGGCCTCGGCACCACCGCGCTCCCTAAAGAAGAGGTTCTCTTACTAACTACGGAGTGGTGCAGCGCCCCCACGCTGCGTCGCGCTGCAAGCGGCGAGAACGGTCGCTGGGGTCCCGCCGTTGGAGGCGGTGTCGGGGCTCGCGGTGGCGGGGGCGTGGAGGACCGCCATGGAGGGGGGCTCGGCACATGCGACATAGAGTCGAGGATATCCACGCTAGTACCCACACCGTCTATAATATCGGGCAACATATGCAATACTAAATTTCGTTATAAACACGAAACTACAAAAAAGGAACATTAAGTAATTGAGACGTTTCTCTAGAAATGAAAAATGAAATTGATATCCTACCTTTGTTAAGAATGACACTAGAGGAGGAAGCGCCAGGGTGATCTTCAGGAGCCAACTCATACTGCTCATCTGCCTCACTCGTGTCATCAAATGGATCATCTACACGAAGTGTGGTCGTACCCATCGTGTCTAACTCTTCCTCTTCGCAAGCCTCTCTGAGGAAAAGTGAAATTTTAGATACATATCAATGCGAACAAGCTGCCCACAATGAAAGTAAATGAATCCTTATTGAACAGTGGCCTATAAAACACATCCTGGCAGATAGCACTACGTATGACAACTCAATCAATTCCTAGATTAAACGAATATTGATAACTAACCGGTAAGAGTTGCGTCTCTTAGGAGGGGGTGAGATGGTCGTGTTGATGTCGGGTTTAGAGTCAGATTTAGAGTCATCTGTCACTGACAACTCCTCTGATGCACTGCCTAAACTCAACTCAACATCGTCCCCGTCCCTGTAAACAATGCAAATATATTACAATTGTGGTAAAAAGAACCGCTCAGATAACCACATAAAGCAGCCGATTGCAATATTTAAATATAATAATCTGTGTTTACGTACTTTTATAACTTCAGACTGAACCAATAAGGAACTAGCTTTTAAAAGCCGCAAAATATGCAGGAAATACCTTTCTGTTTCTTCTCGGAACTTTACGCAAGAACTTTTGATATCATCAAGAGATTCGATTAGCGCCATGGCGTGAGCGATAGACCCCTCAAAAGCGTTAGAATTTGACCACGGTCGTGGACCCTCCCTTCTTCCTTGTCTTAGAGATCGATATCTCTTGTCCCCTGAAATTATATCGTACTAGGCTAAAGCATTCGGTTATTTTGAACAATACAAAATTTCAACAGGAATAATAATATTATGGAAGGACATTCTTTCGCTATTTTAACTTTCAAGATTGATAACTAAGTATGTCTCCGTACCAGCGGTAAATGAGGAAGAGAATATATCCGATTTGGAAGACGACGGAGAAATAGCGTCGAACCATTTCTCTGTTTGAGACATTGAGTCTTTGATGTTGACGGTGTTCATTTGGTTTTCTTGATCCTCATTAGACAGTTCTAAAGGAGGAATCTTGAGGATTTGTGACATATGCTGACAAAAAAGACTTCCCCGTAATCATTAAAAAAAAATTTGAAAAATGAAAATTTGTATTATTACTAAACAAATTCCACCAACCTCTGCTGCCAGGATCACGTGCATTGGGCTCAGTGTTAGTGGAAGCCTCGCTGAATTGTATGTCAACCGAGACCTCACAAGAGGTTGTTTTGGTTTCAGTTTCCACAACCACAGTCGTATTGGGCGATGATGCAGTTCCAGCCTCTACCTCCTCTGGAAAGATTTGGCGCATGGCTATTAACTATTCAAAAATAACTCAAATTTTAATAGATTAAACGTCAACTTCTACCAAACAAGAAAAACGTAACCATAAGATAATTACCGCGAAGTTTGATAAGCTCTTCTTCTAATCGATAATTCTCGTTTTTCAGGAATTCATTCTTCTCGACCACTGCCTCGAGCTCAGCCTTCTTCTCATCGGCAGACTCTAAGCTAGTCTTTAAAGTGTCGACATCGCTTTGTAACGAAGTGATCTGCGCTTCGTGAACTTGAGCAACATCTGAAACCATCAGTAAATTGTAAAATCAAGAATAGACATTAGTGCTCGTTGGACCGAATGTTGTGATCCACATTGTCAGTGTACACGTATGAATCTAACAATAATATAGGGGTAACAGAGGTGTAAAATATCAGCTGCTGAGAGAACTTCACAACATTGCAGGAATCATACTTAAAAAAGACGCCTCACCTTCGAGTTGCTTCTCCAGCTCGCTCCTCTGCTCCTTAAGTTCGGTATTACTCTGGGTCATTTCCTCAAGCTTCTTGTTGAGCTCCTCCATAGCCTCCTTGTGCTCTACTTCAGTTGTTTCAAGAGAATTCTTGAATTCTGCTTCCTTTGTTTCTAATTCAGTCGTTCTCTTTCGAAGCTCGTCTTGAACTGAACAAAGGTTTATGCTGGTTTATGCCCGTATTATAACTTGTGCCCGTATGGTAGCTTATAAACACATGGTGTCATTGTGATGAAAAGTGATTCTACAAAGAAATTGAGAGAATACTGCTTTTTTTCGATGAAAATAAAACAGTACAATTTCAAACCTTTGATAAGCTCAGCTTGCGTCGATTCGTGAAGATTCTTGTGATGGCTAACTTCGATTCTAGCAGTGGTTAAAAGGTTTTCTAAATCGGCACATTTTCGGCCAACGTCAGACTTTTCGAGGCAGATTGCCCGCAAACTGTCCTTTGCGTGGATCTGATAGTCATGTTTCTCATTTTCAAGCTGGATTATTTTGTTCTGATCTTCTGTTGGGTTCTGAGTACAATAAAAATGTCAGTTATGAATAAAGTAATAGGGTGGTTTTAAGAGATCTAGATGATTCAATTTCGACACGACTACAACCAAATTTTGCTGATGATCTAAAAGCAAACGATTACTGTCTCAATAAACAAATTGAAGTTTGTGACAGATGATCTAATGAAGGTAAAAATTACTTACTCTAGTAAATATTTCAAGTTGATTCTCAAGAAGCTCGATACGAGCCAATAATTTATCTTCTTTTATAAGAGCCTGAAATGATGTTACCAGTTACATTATTTAGTTGTATACTACAAGAGTTTAAGTGTTAATTAGTTTGATTGACGTATTTCTATAAAACAGCATGCAAAATATTTTAATTCCGACCGCGCCCAAATACAAACAAAATACGGAAAACAATCGTGTGCTCTTCGCAAGCCTAAGACTTTAACTTTTAGCGCAAAAATGTCTCCGCGCGTTACGTAATATACGAACCAAACGCCTGACAATTTCAGACTTCTTCACCATGTCTTCGGATCTTCACGAAGAAAAAGCAGTGATCATCCAAAGCTTTTATTTTCAACTGCTGGCCAACAATTTTGGACCATACTAGTCCCCAATTTTAAGCTCCAACACAATTCATTACCGTACTAAGCGAATCAGGGGCTGACATACTACAATCTAAATATAACTCGAAGCAACGAATTAACAGTTCGACCAGTTGGGCAGTTGCAGTATACGTTGCTAGGCGGGGAGAAAATGTCATTAATTACCCGCGCTTGATGCAATGTACTAACTCAGAGCACATAGTTGACAGTCACAGCCATATACAAAATTACTTTTCGTAAATAAATTTAGGATGTCCCTTGGCCACTAGAATGTCCCCTGGCCACTAACTTAATTTTGAACGTCCTGTAACCCATGTTATTTGACAGGGAGCAAGACTGAATAAAATTAACGTTTAATACGCTCAAAATCAGGTTAAATAGGGACATATCCTGATTTTATTTGATAGGAAATGGGGCCTTTATTTCGCTGGGGATTTGATCCCCGTAAATTGTTCGAGTAAAACATGAACTAAAAACATAAACTAAAAACATAGCCAACTCACTTGCCAGCCTAATTCTGCAGCTTCAATAGCTATTCCTAATCTACCCTCTAACTCTTGTAATCGTGTGTGCAACAGATTCTCTCTGTTAACTGCATTCTGAAATTGTGTGTTCTCAAGCTGGCACCAGGCCTTGCTTAGCGCATCCAATCACATCAGTCTATTCAAACGAGAGCCGATTAGAGACAATGGTGAATAGTAAGTTGAACTTCAAATTATGTAGTCTTAAAAATGTAGCGGTCAAAACTGCATACCTTTATGGCAGCGTGTAATTCTAAAATATCTTGATCTTCGTCGATGTTGTTCAAGGTCTCTGAGCTGGAAGACAGCGATCTGAAAAAGAAGATGAAGTTTGGCAACATTCCAATGCGAAATAACGTGCTATTAACTATACTGCAAGAATTCTGACATGTACAACTATCGATGTTGAATTCCGTACATCTGAAATATGCACGTAAATGGTAAAATTTAAAATATGCACACAGTCGCCGATTGACAAGGGGAGGCGCCGACTCTACTTACGTAGCACTAGTATAAATTATAACAGTTTATCAATATACCCCTGCCGACAAAACAGAGAACAGCTACAATAGTAATTACTGGGCCACATTTGGGAGTCTCTTGTTGAATGTTGAGTAATTATATATCAGATCCGTAACAGATCTATATTAGATTTTTAGTTTGAATCTCATTTTTAGTCTTGAATCTCATTATAAGCAGTTTTCTAAAACGACACTGTACACAAGTGATGGACTACATAATTTCATCAGATCTCTTGATTCCCGATAAATTGCAATTTGCGTTCAGAAGCTGTAAGTCAGCCAGTATCCAGCATGTGTCATCAATTACAAGAATCATGACACACTAATTCGATGTTAATTCATTTTAAATCACACCTTGTACAACAGCCATTACTGAGCACTATTTTCCCCGTTTCTCCCGTTAACACCAAGTTTCAAATACATAAGATTTGTACATCACACATTCACAAGTAAAACTTATCAGGTCTATGTCGAGAGAATAGAAAATTGTACTGTACAAGCATGTAGCAACATGGACTTCAGTGTAGATTGAGTGTCAGGCTTAATGAACATTAATCAAATTCATATTGAGTGAACAAAAGGGATTGCAATATGTGTATTAGCACTATTGTGTTTGTAATTGCCTCGAAATCATGAACGTGCATTGCGCAGGAAGTGTGAGAAAATTTATTTAATTTAACATTCAAAAATCTTACATCGATGTACATATTATTATCAAATTAAAAAACACTTTTCCGTTGATTGATTAAAGGCGAGGCCACATTTACCCCAGCTTGCTGACTCATATGACACTATGGTATTGGACAATACAGAGAGCATTTTCAAGTGGGCACAATAAGTAAATAAGTGATTTAATTTTGTTTTACTCAAGGCATCTAATATATGAGATACGCAAGATTCTCACCAAAGACGTAAATTGTGTCAAAAACTAGGCTCGCTTCCTGGTAAGTACAATTGTATGTAAAATACAAACAAAAACACTAACCGTGAATTTAACATTGGATTGTTGATAACATAGTTAGGATTAGGTAACATCACGTCTGGTATGATGACAGTTGCTTTTGCGATGATACACCCGTGAGTAATGGGATTTCCACCGTCCTTCTTCTTCGCTTCCATAACATCAACCCCAAACTGAATCTCGTCCCCTGAGCTTATTCTGAACGGTTCGCTTTCCTCGCCGCCGCGTGATAGTCGTGTGTTGTTGATGAAGGTTCCGTTACTGCTCGCAGTGTCTTTTATCCAGATCTGAGGGTGTTACATAAGGGTCAAAGGGTGTTACATAAGGGTGTTACACAAGGGTGTTACACAAGGGTGTTACACAAGGGTGTTACACAAGGGTGTAACACAAGCGTGTAACACAAGCTAGTTACACAAGGGTGTTACACAAAGGTGTTACACAAGGCCAAGGGTTAGCTTAATTTACTAGATTAGCTCGATAATTTGCTGATTTGCAAAGGTGTTATAAACTTAGACTATGTACGAGTGATGACAACAATAATGATTTGCAGTATAAAAGTTAGCTCCAGAGCCAGTCTAAACTAAATCCATGTAAAATGCACAATGTTTGTAATTAACACTCTGCATGTAAAATGCACTCTATTTGTGTTCTAACTTCTACACTCCGCTGCATGCAGATAATGTAAATGTTTACTCGGTTGCGTGCAGTGGGGCTAGCACGAAACATGAGTAGTACACATTATACATCACTACATTTACTGGTAGCAGCTTATTAACAAGAGTTATATATAACTATTATAATATATAAGATCAGTACACGCGTACAAGCGTACGTAGGAAGAAGGGAGTTACAGGTTAGAGATAGCTTACTAGGGCTTCGCTTGTGTTGTGTACTGTGTAGAGTCGTATATAATACTAGTACACACCTTAGTTTCAAGTAAATGAACTATAATTGTCTGTATATATACTACTCTCTGTACGAACTAACTCTATGATTTGATGAGAAATGCCCACCAGAATCTCGTTGAACACTATGCATGTTTACAGGGTACAGTAGTTAGAGTATCAAGTTACATTTACATTCTCCACAGTCCTGTAGCACTCTCCGCAACTCATATGTGCAGTTATTCGTTGTGTTTATTTAACAATGATTAATAATTATAAAAAGAGGTCGGTTCAGTGTACAGATAAGAACCATTATTTGGCATGCAGGCTAATACAATGCAACTATTTGAAGACACGTACTTCGCACGTATGTTTAATAAACAAGCAAATGTAACAAATAATTCGGTTTTATGAACTCGGAACAGATGATAAACCTATGATTGAAACCTCCGGCTACTATAACCATTATATGACAATATTATGCACATAGCATATGTTACACGACAATAGCAGATTAGGTTATAGTAATTTGCTAATCAACACAACAGAGTACGTGTTTAAACTTAAAACATTCTGTTCCACTTCTTCAGCATTTTTCAAGTCTTAGTTTATTTGCTTTGCTTACATGTTAAAATACCAATATCAAAAGGAAGTTATTACAGTACTGACCGATCCATCCTGGTACCACAAAACAGCATGACTTCGGGAGAGAACTTTACAATCGAATATGGCATTGTCAGGGGATGTCTTACATCTGGCTACACTTCTACCAACCTGATGAAGGAAGTAGAATGAAAATAGTGTTGAAAGTACACGTTCATTCTAAATCAGAAATCATTTAAAATCATGTCGTTAGGATGCTATGTATAATGTATATTCTATATGCAAGTCGACGTTTAATCGCCATCCGAAATGCAAGCAATTAATATAGACATTGATAAACTGTTACAACCTCATTAAGCTCATGATTTGATTTCTAGTTATCTTGAACACAAACTAAGACGTTAAATCAGAATTGTATTGTTCATGATCATAACTCTATTTAGAGTCGAAATCGTCTTACCTTGACTTCTTCAAAAACTTCGATCTCCCGTCGCTCAAATCGATGTGATCTTGCACAGGGAATGAATATTACTTTTGGCATCTGCATGACTGCACTCTTCTTCTGATGCGGTACTTGTGCCCTACATTTTCCTATCAATGATCAGATTAAAATATTTTGGGTAATGATTATAAAAACAAGTATAATACAATCATTATTTACTTAAGGTGGAATTTCGTTTAGTTTAACTAGCTTTACTTATCAATCTAAAATAATAATAATAATAAAATTTGGTAGCTTAAACACAAACTCTAAGCCCAGTGGATAAACCACAAAACTTATGCTCTATTGTGTGAAACAAAGATACTAGATCAAGTTAACTATCAAGGAGTGTATGCATAGGACATAAAAAGTTTTGGAACGAAGATGACATGCTTATGAAGCGAGCTAACAGTCTAATTGCTAATGAGTTCAAAAAGATCATGACATTAGGTTGCATCCTAAACAGTTTAAGCAAATAACATAAAGTTATACTGTCAATTAATCGCTCATGCCATAACTTTTCTTAAACAGGTGAGTTTTTAATAATGTTTTGAACAAATCAACATCAGAACAAGTCTTAATTTCGATTGGTAGTTGGTTCCAGATTTTTGGAGCAACAGTCTGAAACGCTCTTGGGTGCGATCTTGTAGATCCAACAGGTAGGTGTAAGGAGGAAGTTCTTCTGCTACTCGAACTAACAAATGTTACTAGATCACACAGATATGCAGGCGCAACACCATTGACTGCTTTGAAAATCAGTAAACATAACTTAAACTCAATCCTCTCCTTCACCTTGATAGCTTTACTTATCAATCTATTATCCACAAAATAAGATGGCCATGCCGACTCATACACATTATATGGAATTATCTTAGAAATTGAACTTAAATAATGTTAAAATAGTATTACTCGGACTTTCAACTGATAAACATTGAAAAGAATGTTTTTATTAAAGTATCAAATATATTATAAACCAACTGGAAACAGACTAAAAACTGTTTAAAAATGTATTAAAATAATATCATTACAATCTGTTTCTGAGCAAAGCTAAGTGCACTATCTATAAGATCAAGTCACTGCTGAGATACTACCCTTATAATATCTATTTACACATTTCATTTCTCATTTTTACAACATTTGTTTTATTACCCTTTGCTTTGGTAAATTCAGATAAGTATCAAAAACAGACAGATAGAAATTGGTAGGAAACAAACAGAAATTGGCGATGTGTTCATACATGATTTCAAAAGTTTGGTTGTGGGACAAGTGGTCCAAACAATATATGCCATGCAACTTCTTTTGACAATCCTCCTATCACAAATAACAAAACAGTATACAAGTTGATTAAAAAGAATAAATAGCTCCAATAAAAATCCAATAATTTCTTGCAATTCACAATCAAACAATAAATACTGGAAAGGTATAGGCTCCCATGCATTCACTTTGGTTATCTCAGCTATGGTGCGACGAGCAAAATCCTGGCAGTTACCATGAATGATGTCATATGAACGGTACAGCTCATTTTTCATAAAATGAATGAAATCTTTTTTTTTTTCTTTTTTTTTTGAAATAAATTTTCGTGCACATACAGAATGAATGGTTAATAATTTAATATATATGTAGACCAAGCTCTGTGCACGGGATGCTTCCTGGAAGAATCCAGTTCTTTTAGCGGGGCACCCTACCTAAAGCCAAATTGAGATATAATAATCATATTCCTAGGGAAATAATCAGAAATCGAATACCAATCAAATAATATGATATATAGGAGTAGTAACCATATTTACTATGCAAAATGCCCCAACCTCATAGTGTAAATTTATATAAAATTCAAATTCCATACCACCACTAAACCCCAACAGTCAACACAACAGCCCAAGCAAAATTAAATAACTTCTTATATACTGTCATACTACAAATTAATTAAACATTTGAAATCTGTTAACCAGAGAATAAATTTCTAAACCTAATGCAAGTGAAATAATTTAGATGCAATAATGAATGCCTAATATGAGTATCATCTGTCAATGTCCTTGTAGAACAGTCTGTACAAGAGATATGAGTAACTAATATAGAAGGAAAAAAAACAGGAAGTTGTCGTCTGTTGGAAAATAAATAAAATATCTAGTATATAAATTAGAATATAAAATAACATTCGGTCAATGTGTCGTCAATAAACTGTACAATTATCAAATGTTAAAACTGTACTGGGTGATACAGTCACCAAAAATAAATACTAAGTATAATAAGTTAATAAATTAAATGTGGTCTGTAAAACTACCACTAGGTATAATAGGTCAATAAATTAAAAGTGGTTTATAAAACTACCACTGTGCGAACCCCTTCTCCAGTTAAAACATGTCAGTCATGTGCAGAATCAATCAGAATGGTAAGGTGGTAAAAAAGGGAATATCCTTTCGACACTTCAATTATATATGCCTCAGATTTAAAAGAAATAGAAGATACTTAGTTATCGTCGACTATGATTGCAGTGTAAAATTTGTCATATGAATTGTCGACGGTATAATAAGGGTCTGTTGTTATAGATGAGAGTAGCTGTTTCTTATACGAATCACTAAAGCTTTTAACATCGGGCAGATTTCGTAGATCTGTTGGAACATTATTCCAACATTTTGCCCCCAAGTATTGAAAGTTTTTATGTGATGTTGATCTATTAACATATAGGTTGCAGCTTTCGCCGCTCCTACTACCTCCTGATATGTAACTAAATTTGTTCATAAAGTTTGTAGGACAATTGTCATGGATGATTCTAAACATATAATTTGACAGATGGAGTTGTCGTCTAAGATGGAGTGGTAACCATTTCATGTCTCTATAAACATTAAGGCTGCTCTCTGTTTGTGGAACGTTGAGAGCTATTTTGGCTACCTTTTTGTACAGAGTGTCAAGTTCAGCAAGTTTTGTCTTGCCAGCTCTTGCCAGCTCTTCGACAGGATACTGAAATCCATGACATAACATTGTGTGAGGAATGTGACTGGGGTTGCACGAGGAGCCGTGGAAGAATAAGATCCTATTAAAGGGGGTATGCACCGATCTGATGGATTTGCGCTCTGTATGTAAATACCTGATCGATTCTTGTCAAGAGACCAACATGCATTGTCAGTTGTAGCAAATACAACAAATGCATGGTAATCTCCGCCAGTCCACTGATGTGATGTTCTAGTGCTAACGAAGGCAGGTGATGAGTGGTACTCTAAAGGAGTACTGAGGACACTAACCCACCAAATCTTGTTATTCTTGCCTTCCCAGCTTCTTTCAAGACGATCAATATATTCAACACTAAGTTTTCGGACATCAAAATGGATTTGTTGATGATGCTCTAGATCTTCAGGACTTATGATGTATGGTTTGTTGGCACAACTTAAGGGGGCCGGGGGGGGTCTTCATCAAAATTCTCTCGAAATTGACTTTGTAGTTGTTTCTGATGGAGGGGAGTGATATCTATCAGCTGTTTTTGGTCCCATGGAAAAATATTGTTCCTAGCCGAAAATATTGCCGGTCAAAGGTCAGCGCTTATGTGTAATTGTATTGCGCGAGCGATTTTCAATCGCGCGCCCTGAAAATCGAGTCTAAAAATCTATCTTCTCCTACATTTTTAGAGCAATCACCCTGAAACTTTCAGGATATGTTCTAAGGACCATTTAGAAGAGATTGTCGGGCCAGAATTTTGAGATAGGCCTTAGAAAATTTTTTATTCGATTTTGAAAATCTTGGACCTCGTATTTTGACAATTTTTTCAGGTCCAAGATTTTCAAAATCGAATAAAAAATTTTCTAAGGCCTATCTCAAAATTCTGGCCCGACAATCTCTTTTAAATGGTCCTTAGAACATATCCTGAAAGTTTCAGGGTGATTGCTCAAAAAATGTAGGAGAAGATAGATTTTTAGACTCGATTTTCAGGGCGCGCGATTGAAAATCGCTCGCGCAATACAATTACACATAAGCACTGACCTTTGACCGGCAATATTTTCGGCTAGGAACAATATTTTTCCATGGGACCAAAAACAGCTGATAGATATCACTCCCCTCCATCAGAAACAACTATAAAGTCAATTTCGAGAGAATTTTGATGAAGACCCCCCCCGGCCCCCTTAATTCCTTGTTAATTTGAAATTCCTTGCTTTCCTTTGTAAGACTGTGTGGCATAAAAGGGTAATGAAATGTGACCATACCATGCTTGAAAAACGATGCACAAATTATCAACAATAATTTTAAATCTACCATTTTGACTATAACCCAGCGACATATTTTTTTGAGTGCAAGTACTATACTTTTCATTGTTTTGAATTTAAGGATCTACAGTGTAGTATAGTATAGTACTATGTTTACAGTAGACTACATGTTTGTAGATGTATAATAATTTAAGTAGATCTACCATGTACCACATTTCCTTCTTGAGTGGCTGACGATGAGGTTGCTTGGTTGTAGACTGGGCGTTACATGGCTGTTAACTGAGATATATATGTAACGTTTATACTTCTAGCCTGCACAGCTGGCTGGTGATATGTTACTACAAAGTTACAATTCTTGATATTTAGAAACTAGTGTAACTCGTACCTACGGCCGGGACTTCACTATCGCAGTTGAAATGCAAAAGTATAAACCCGCCTATTATATTCTCATATTCGAAAACACACATTACATTTAAAATAAATTCAAACAATATACGGACACGTTCATTGAAGTTTGAGGATATTGGTAAATATTAGTGACCCTACTAAATGGCACGATGATGTAAAATGTGTCACACTATAAAACTATATAAACCCTCAATGGTTAGGATAATCGTTTCATCCTCTAGATAAACTTTGTCGCATAACGATATCTTTATCAGACGATAAGATATCGCTTAAATGCGGCCGGCAGTGAGTTGTAAACTTTGTCACACTATAAAAATGTGACAGAGTTTATATGGACCCCTTGTTGCCGTGTTTGACCAAATTTTCGAATTTCAAATTTATAGGATAGTTGCATATGACTATTATTTACATATTTAGCGACTTTTTTCGTTAAATGGTAGCACCATGTAAACTCCGTCACACATTTAAGAAATTTATATGAGGGATGTTTATGAAAACCTGACAA